TGTAACAAGTTGTACCAATATGCATTAATGAAATGGCTTTACTTTTTGAAATTTTACTGATTATTCATGAGTTAAATCACATGTTCAAGTCCTGTCCCTCAAAATAGTTGCCAGCTATTTCCAGAAGACTAGAAACTTGGCCTTATGAGCTACATTTCATGAATCAACATGATTGATGGATGGTAACATGATCACAAAGTAGCATTAAAATGTTACTGACCTAAAGAATCCTCCTATCTTGATCTGCACACAACACAGAAACAAGATGATCTTGCATTAGCAGAAGGAGAGGTCTATACTCCAGGTTTAAGTTTGCAGGAAATGTTTATCATCCGCTGACAAGATCTGTACCATTCAACGGCCACTGCATCATCAAAACAACATAGATATCATTCTATCTTCTAAGTGATCATTTTTAACATAAAGAATCTTGCTAGCACCTTCAAGAAATATGATACAGGATGTGTAATCCCTGTTTGATCATTTGATACTGTTTTATTTACTTGGGACAAAAAAGGAGACATATATTGCAATCCCACTGAACTTAAAAGACATGTATAGGGCTGCAGAACAAACCATTTAGTATTGGCTAATCAATTGGTTAAAAGTTGACAATAAAACACTGAAATGTCACAATGCTAATCCTAGCAAATATTTGTTCTAGCTAGCCTAGATTGGTGAAAATAGAATTACTGCATTTCTGGCTAAGCTGTAGCCATTAACATCTCAAAGATACAGAACAAGAAGAAATATTGTAAGAAATAAAACATATACAACTCTTGTGGCTCCTTAAAGGCTAACTAATGTATTGTGGTTTGTGTATTTGTGGAAAGAGATGCATCAGGAATTAGACTGAGTTACAGGTGCAATGTGTAAACACAGTGGAAAAGGGAATTGTAAACAATTATGCTAGACAGAAATTAGATGCAGAAAGTACAGTGACAAATTTGTCTTCAAGATGCCACAAAACCTTTGTCTTTTCTGTCACAAATGAATTCAGCTACCATTCTGAATGTATAATATACACAAGAGTTATCATCAAATGTAAATGGCATCATTGTAGTATCTAAGTACTATCCTGTTTTATGCTGTCAACTTTGTACTATCTACTTAACAGATTAATTTTAAATATTGGTTGTTTTGTACCACTATAGCTAAAGGATGGTTCTGTTTGTGGCAAGCAGGTCTGAGAAAAACAACAACAACGATCTTTCTTGTGGTTTTATGGCTCCACAAATTATCTTGCCTTTGAATGCTACCATCTTTGCCCCACTTGAATGCACAAGCCATCCTCATACAAGTTTCCTGCAGTACTGAGGACTTGTGGATCCAGAAAGGACTTGGGAGGGGTACAGGCTCTAAACCCTCTTGCCTCAGCACCATCACCTTCTGGCTTGTAATTATGCACTGGAGCACTTCTTTCCATCAGAACTCAAAGCACTTTACTGACACTAATGAAGGTTTGTATGGGTATTAAAATGATTACTATCTATGTTTCATGAAGTCACAAAGTGACAGGTGTGGGACTTTGCCTAAGGCTACATGGTGATTCTGTGGGAAAACTGGCAGAGCAATAGAGAAGTCTTTGAATTTAAAGTTCTTATTTAATAAACTATTTTAACTTATCTCAATGATACAAAGAATTCTGCATCAACCACAGTCCAAAATAAAATCCAGTTATCATCAGTAAGACTCAAACGCTTAAGGAAATCTTCAGATCTTACATGTCATCAAAATGTCATCACTGTCACGGCCTCTGAGGAGATGGTATTCCCTCTCACACATCCCCAAGCTGTATTAGGCTTTAAACACTTTGAATTAGACTGCAAGTTGAAAGCCAGTGCCAATCCTTTAAAACTATGGTAAAACGGAAAAGGAATAAAAACACACAGCTCTCAACCCATTGAAAATATTAGAACCAGAATATAATTGAAAACTATTGGGATATTTGCCAGAATGGCATCAAAGTACTACTATAGTAGGCCTCTCTGGGGAGGCTATTATACAGATGGGGTTCAGAATTGAGAAGGCTCTTCCATTCATTGCCATCTACAATCACTCTATTGGTGATGACAGTCAAATACAGGCCCCAAATGTCCTTGGGGATTGGATAGGTACATGTGGAAGAGATGATCCTCTCAAGGTTTGTTGTAGTTATGTGTCATCAAGTCAACCTTATGGCAGCCATATCAATGAAAGCCCTCCAAAATGTCCTATGACAGCTCTGTTCAGCACTTGTAAATTCAAGGCTGCAAGTTCCTTTTTCGAGTCAATCCACCTCATGTTTGATCTTCCTTTACTTCTTCTGCCTTCAGCTTTTGCTCCAGGGACCTTTGCCTTCCCTGTCTCAGTCTTCAAATTTCTTGGCTACAGTCTCCATCTGAATTGAGATTGTGCCAAGGTATGCAAAATCTTTCACAATTTCAATTTCTTCACTGTTAACACTCACTTCTGTAGTTATATTTGTTTTTTCAATATTCAGCTACAATCCTGCTTTTGTACTTTTTTCTTTCCCTTTTACCAGAAGCTGTTTCAATTCATTGCTGCTTTCTGTCAGTAAGGTGTTATCATCACTTTCTGTCTATCTAAAATTCTTGATGTTTCTTCCACCAATTTTCCCTCCTTCCTCTGAGCCTAATTCAACTTTCCTTATGTTCTTCATTCAGATTGGATAGATAGGGTGATAAAATGTACCTTTGTCTGATGTCTTTGCTTATGGAAAGCCATTCTGTTTCTCTATATTTTGTCCTAACAGTGGCTTCGTGACAACAATGCAGGTCATGTATGAGGACAATCAAGTGCTGAGCCACACTGATTTCTTTCAGGACCAGCCACAGCTTCTCATAATCCACTTTGCTGTAGTTTATAGAGCATGGACTGATCTTCTGAAATACTTTGGTGCACTCTAGTAGCCAACATATTTTGCAATATGATTGCCAGCAGATCTTTTCAGAATCCATCTTGAATGTCAGGCATTTCTCACTCCATACAGGCTAATATTCTTTGCTGCAACACCTTGTATATCACTTTGCTTGCATGGGAAATTACTGCAATTGTCCTAGGTTGCTGTATGGTTGTGCAGCTCGTTTCTTGGGATTGGAATGTATTTTGAACATTTCCAGTCTGTAGGCCATATTTGTTGGCATATTCAAATATTCAAAGCATATTGTTTTGCTTTCCATATTTGTTAGCATATTCATGTTAGGATTTGATCCAGTCTCTGCAGCTGGAATAGTTGCTGGTATCATATCTACTCTACTAGGTACTTTATTCCTTCCAAGAGCCTTCACAGCAGTTTTCACTTAGCTTTCTAATATTGCTGGCTCTTCCTCAGAGGATTAAGACCATTGTCTTTTCATCTCTTCTCTATCTTCTTCCATATATTGTTTCCCTGTTCTCTGTATTTTTCCCTATCAAATAGTGCGTCCCCTGTTTGTCATTTGGCATTCCTAATCTAGGTTTGAATTTCCCTTTGATGTCTTGGATCTTCTGGAAGACCCCTCTTTTATTGTTCTCTTCTTCTTCTACATGGCCATTGTAATACTTTTTGTACTTTTTGATAGTTGCTGAAAAGCTGCATTCAGTATTCCGACCCTATTTATGTCACTTTTGCTTTTGCTTCTTGGCTGTCCTTAGCAACTGTGTATATTTCTTCTATCTATCTAGGCCAGGTGTCAGAAACCTTAAACACTCAAAAGAAATTGAAAGTCTTAGGTACAATCTTATGGCTGACAGATGCTACCTGGCAGGCCATAGGAAAAACTGGAGTATTTCTGCGACCTGGAACGCTAGCAGGGACTCCACCTTCAGAGGGGACTCCCTCTGTTCTTGCAACTGGTGCAGTTCCTTGCATGCCAGCTGCAACTCCAAGACTGTCTTCAGAACAGGTGCTGTGGGACAGAAGAGCAGGTCACCAGTGCCTGTAAAAAATCCAGGCAGCAGCTCAGGCCCCCTACTTTCAAAGCAAGGGCAAAATATTTAGATAGCCAAAACTGGCCGTCTAAATGTTTCTTGAGGGTAAGGGGAATGCAGAGGCAATCCTAACCTCTGTTATTCTCCCATCATCTGTATGCCTATAGCCTTCTGATTTGAAGGGTTTGCAGCAGCCACATTGGATAGTTTCCTTATTGAATCAATTACACTTAATTATGAATAAATGAATTTATTAATTTCTCTGGTTTTGTGGCAGCAGGAGCCATTATCTGTTCGAATCTTGCTTGCTAGCATTTCAGGGTGATCTTAGAATCTACTCAGAAGTAAAACCTATTGAGTTAGGTATGCCTGTGTAGGTTTGTAGCTTCAGGGGTTTTTTTAAACCAAGTATCAGGTTACAAACTAATCACACGTAACTCGAAAAGAACATGTGCTGACAAGTGGTTCTTAATCCTGATCAAACATTTCCAAGAACACTTACGGAAAAATCGGTTTTTTTCTCCCTCTTTTATATCCACACATCGCACCCCACCCCGGCTTCCTTCGCTCCCCGCCACCGGACTCGGGGCGAATAGTATGCCAAATCTACATTAACAGTAGAATGAGGAGTAGCGAAGTTGCTACCAAGACCGTTTCTGATTGCAGGAGAAGGATACGAGTTCTAAACCCTTCGTTCCCCAGAAAACGAAGTCCATCCAACTGGAAAAGCAGCGTCACAAGAAGAACAGTTCTGGTGGTGTTTTCCCCCGAGGAGCTAACTTTCCACTTGTTTTTTGGTTTAATGAAACACGAGAATTAAAACTGCGAATCCTCCTCTCTCAGTCTGAAATCAGAAGACCCAATTTTCTCCCTTTCTCCTGAGTGTCTACTTGTTGTCTTAAGTTATTCTTGAACTTCTCCATGTCTGGGGGAAAGGGAAAGTAGGCTAGGATTCGCGCATACCTACACCGCCCCTTCGCCCTACTTCTCGCCAGACTTTCAAATATCGCGCGATTTTCCCTTCTCTTTCACGGTTGCAAGGGCAGAAAGCGGCGCGTCCGGTTGCTGAAGGAAAAGAGCGAGTCCGACTGTCCGGCCGAGAGCGGCCATTGTCGCCTGAGGCGAGGCCAGGTGTGGCGCCCGCCGCTCCGCTCAGGTGAGGCAAAGGAGGCGTGGCTTAGCGCTCCGCCTTGCGGGCTTCTCCCTGCAGGACGGGTCGGGCAGCGCAGAGACTTTGCAGTTCGCTCGAGGCAGCAGCGAGGAGGCGAGAGACACGATGGGACGGGGAAGGCGACTCGACATGTAAACTTTCTCCTCTCCCTCCTGTGAAGGGGTTAGTAGGGAAAAGGGGGCTTTGAGCGTTCGGCTCGGGGTTTGTCCTCGCAGCTCTTTCTAACTTGTGCACTCGAAAGCCACGCTCCTAATGCACCAAGACGACAACATCCAGCATTCCCCAGCTAGCTTTCTGGAGGTTGGGGAAGGCTAGCACGGGATGCTGGGAATTGTAGTCCAACACATCTGGAAGGTTGGTGTGGTAGGTGGCTGATGTGGGCCAGCACATCTGGAGGACATCAGATTGGGGAGGGTTGGCAGGAGAATGTGGGGAACATTTGGATGGCACCTGGCGGGAGAAGGCTGCCATTGGACTTATTCCCATCTGCCAGTGTGTTGGAGATAATGGTGAGGAGGCTGTTCAAAACATGCAGTGAGCTTTTCTGTATGACTTTTTGCTGCTTTTTAAAAGCGCTCCACAGCCTTATGTAGTCAGTTGCAAGGATGTTCATTTTAAAGAGTTTGCTGCCAGCTCCTGGCAGACAAACTCTCACATGGGGCATTGTCTTCCAAGGAAGGGCAGGGATAGGGAATCTGGTCCCAGTAGAAGAGGGTGGAGAGACTAGCTGGAAAGCTAGAATGACATCTGGCTGAGAACATACCAAGCCAGGGCGGGAACAAATGAAGTGGCTCTTTTGGTTTATCTTGGAACTTTTTCATGCTTGAGTTGAGAACTTAATTGTTCCTGTTTATTTGTCTAGTGGGGGAAGAGCTGCAAAGGTCTTTGATAAAGGTAGTAATGCAAATAGTTCTCTTTGCAAAACACATTCCAAGGTATACATTTAGGTGCTTTATTAAGAACCTAGTGTAAAGTTATATTTTCACAGTGGTTGCATAGATCAGAAAAGGGTAAATGGAATGCTTAAAAATATGACCAACCTACGTTATGAAAGTTGGGGTGTGCCTTTTGAGTTTTGGAGGTGCTTTGAGAACTTTAGCCAGCAGGTTTTGTTATTAGAAATAAATCGTATTTCTTTGAAGCTGCAATCTCAGACACACTTGCTTGGGAATATATTTTGTTGAATGTAATGAGGCTTATGAGTAGAACATGCATAGACATGTGCACTATATGACAGTAAGTGATTATTTGTTAAGCTACCATTACTGTCATTGCTGTCTTTTGCCTGGCGGAAATGTGGAGTGATGCATCTGATATATCTCTTAAAGCATTTCTAAATTTCTGTTTCCCCTCTCCCTACCTAACAGGTATTATCTGACTTTTTATTCCTTTACCGTTTGCAAACTGGGAAATTTAACTTGCAAGTAGTCAAGACACATGGATTAGAATATGAAGAGAAACAAGACATTCAATCTTGACATTTTGTTTTGCTGTGTCTGAAGAACTAAACAAGGAAGATGTGTTTACTTTCCCTGTGAACCAAATAACCACTGGAGAATTTAATTATGATGATGTGCTGAAGCCTGAAATATCTGGGAAAATGGGGGTCTTTGCACTTGTTCTGACCTGGAGTCTAATTTTGGGTTTTATACATGGGCACAGCTTATTCACTTGTGAACCCATCAACATCCCAAGATGTTCTAGAATGGCCTATAATATGACCTATTTTCCCAATATAATGGACCATTATGACCAGGACATGGCAGCACTCCGTATGGAGGTGAGTTGTTCCCTATTTCACTGTTGTAACAAAAAGACTGCTTAGAAACATGTGCATGTCAAACTAGTTGATTTTGACAGTACAAAGAGCTCTGAGCAAGCGATGATACAGTATGAGCCATTATAAGGAAACCACTAGGTGCTTTGATACATGTTTGAAGCAGTTATTGAACTTCTTCAGATCAGGACATGGAGGCTGATGCTAAGATGATGATACGAGCATATGGACAGGTTCCAGAGCTTGTCCTTGTATTATTTGATCTAACACTAATAACCAGAGGTAAGGCTAACATAACATGGTACAAAATACTTTCCTCTGTATGCTGTTGGAGAAAATAAAACATCTGTATTAGCTTCTTTGACAAGAAATTTTAAATTGTGTAGTGTTAGTCACCTGAGCTTCCTTATGTTTATGGTAGATGGCTTCTTGCTGCTTTCCATTGGGCTGCATGCAGTTGGCATAAGAACTTTCTCACTGCTTATGAAGTTCTAAAATATGAGTTACATCTCTTTCCACATATCTCCTAACTGGGTATGAAAGCAGAGGCATAGATGGTACTCCCGTCTTGCATGGTAAACACAACTTAGATAAGAGGAAGCATTAACTGAGAATCATGGAATAGTAGAGCTGGACCCTTCCAATTCCCTGCTCAGTGCAGGACTCCAGATGAATGCATCACCAAGAGATGGCTGCCCAGCTGCATCTTGAATGCCTCCAGCATGGGAGAACAGCCTCCCTAGCTAATTGGTTCCATTGTTGTACTGTTCTAACAGTTAGAAGATTTTTCCTGACGTTCAGCTGGAATCTGTCTTTCTGTAACTTGAGTCTGTTATTCTGTGTCTTGCGCTCTGGGATGATCAAGAAGAGATCCTGGCCCTCCACTGTGTGACAGCCTTTTAAGTATTTGGAAAGTGCTATCATATTCCTCTTAGTCTTCTCTTTTCAGAGCTAAACATACACAGTTCTTTCAGTCTGTTTATGAGGTTTTGGTTCCAGTTCTCTGACCATCTCTGTTGCCTTCCTCCTTTTCCAGTTTGTCTGCCTCTTCTTAAACTGTGCTGCCCGGAACTGGACACAGTAGTCAAGATGAAGCCTAAGTGCTGAGTAGAAGGAAACTAGTACTTCAAGTGATTTGGAAGTAATATTTACAGCCCAAAGTAGTGTTTGCCTTTTTTTGCAGCCACATCACACTATTGACTCATACTCAGCTTGTGATCTACAACTCTGAGATCCTTCTCACTGTTGGTATTGTTGAGACAACTATGCCTCATTGTCTAACACTGTATTTGGTTTCTTTTTCCTAGGAGCATGACTTGGCAATTGTTCTGATTAAATCTCAGTGCTCCAACCTATCTAGATAACTCTTTGTTTGTCTTCCAGGACATTAGCTATCCTGCACAACTGTGTCATTTGCAAATATGATTCGCATTCTCTGCACCGTGTCCTCCAAATCATAAAAAAAGTTGAAGAGCACTTGATTCAGGTGCCATTGATGAGCACCCTTTGAGTCCGATTCTGTAGCCAACTGTGGGTCCACCTAACAGTTGCTTCACAGCTCATTTGTGAGCTGTCCCGAGATGCCGAGGCATGTGGTGACGGCATACACAAGTTTTAAATAAATAAACAAATAAATAAATTTTGAGCTAGTTTACTAATCAGGATATCGTGGAACACTTTGCCTAAAGCTTTGTTGAACTCAAGGTATATTATGTCCATAGTATTCCCACAGTTCACCAGGGAGATAAACCATCAGAAATAAGATGTCTTGAAGTTGATTCTTGCCTTCAGTTTTAATGATTATACAAGTACTAAAGTCACAGAATTACCTGTAGTGTGATTAGACAAATAACCTGCCTGAAAATTAGGACTTTCACTTGATTAAAGATGTTTTAGCAGATTGATTGTGAGTTTACTTGAATGCCTATTTTACTTCTACATAGCTGGTATTGTCATAGGTTTTTTTCCTTTCTGTCATAGAGGAGGGGATACCTTTTTAAGGCATCTACAGTATGTACAAGCAGTGGTACGCTACTTGCATTTGAACTTAAATATGTGGACAGATTAATGAGAAAGCATTTTAGTTGATGGAAGTGTATGTTAATTGTTTAATCAGTTCACTGTCTCTGCCTACTTGCTAGTTCTTGCTCACTGCATTTTCCCTCTGGGCCCTACAGTGGCAAGTTCTGGGCCCAACAAGCTGATCTTCCTCACTACTCAATCCAGTAAAAGAGGATGAGGAAGAAGCAACAGCTGCTGGATCTTTCTCTTGACAGAAAGGATTGAACAAATGGAAAGGGTTGGCTCTGATTGCTCACTTACTCTCTCACACTGGAGGGCTTTACTTGCTTGTGTGTGTTCTTTGTCTTCAGGTGCAAGAGCAGCAAGACTGTATGGAGGGAGGGAGGAAGAAGGGAGCAGTTACCACCTCTGCATACTTGATCAACTTCTCTGAATGGGTAGCGTAGCACAGAACTATCAGGCACCTTGTTTCTCATCCCTGCCCCTGTGCCGCCAGAGGATGAGCAAGAGAGGAGGTGGGAACAGCAGCAGGTGCTTTCTCTTACTTGCCTGTGAAAGGGATGATACTGAGGGGATTCCTGGGTGCTTTCTGGCCAGTGAGAGATACTTCCCCATCCTGCTTTCTGCAGCTCTGCTACTGGGCAGCAGAAGGTAGGAGAGTTTGCTATCCATTGTTTGATAGCCTCCCCTTACTAGTCACAACTGCTAATCAGCTACTTTGCTTTCAAAATGACAATATTCAGCATTATGGTGCATTCAAGGCAAAATATAGTTTGACCCTGAAGAAGAGTCATTGGAAACAGCGCTGGCTGTGGTAGAGAAGAGGCAATGCTAATACTGGGTTCATCCTAGTGGACAGCATGGTTGAAAGAAGCTCTTGGAGGAAGTCCTGAAAAGGCATGGAAACTTTAGACAAGTTGATCCAAAGGATTCCATTAGGGAAACTGACTTTCCTACTCCAACATATTATGCTAACCCAGACATTTTAATATGTCTTCAAAAATTTAACACTTACACATGTAAAATCAATAACTCCTCAGAAGTTCCTCAGAAGCATTACATTGCAAATCTGGGAATGGCTTTGAATATTTCCATTATCATCTTTTCCTCTTTTGCCTTGAATGGAGACATACCAACTTCCCTTCCTTTATCTCTCCTATTGAGTAATTGCTCTGCTCTGTATTGGAAGTTTTAAGTATTTATTTGCTGGAGGTAATTCAGTTACTTGGACTATAAATAAAATGCTCTGCATCGCACACATGGCTTTCTAACAAAGATTTGTTTTTGTACGAAGGAATTTTTCTTTCACTCTGGTGCAAAGGGGATTCATGGAGTTAATTTGGCAGAAATGCTATTGCTATATCTTTCCTAATAATGAGAAGCACATGTAAATGCCTTTTTTCTTTTAGTGACGGTGAAATACAGAAAGTACTGTGCAGTAAGAAATTGCATTTAAGTACTCCTTTTTCTCCTGTAATACAATGGACGAGTCAGGGCCTGCAGGAGTGGAAAACAAAAAAATTCCATCCATTTGTAGAGGGATGCACTTTCTAAGGTTGCAATTTAAGGTATGCATATATCAGAGCAGGTTCTACTGAACTTAGTAGAATATGCTTCTAAGTAAACATTCTTTCTTGAGATTTAAGGGGGAAATTCTCAATTTGCTCTGGTAGAATAAGGCTTCTCGTGCTTTTCTATCGTTTTTCCCCCCTTGATAAAAGCACATAATCATATAGAGTTTGAAGAAAGTAATTTTTTCCTGATGACCAAACAACGAGGGTCAGTTACTTAGGGTTCTATCAGAGGGACACAAGAGGGTCAACAATATAAAATAAACCTCTGTCAAGAAGGCCAGCATGTGTAAAGATAAGCCTGGAGGCAGATGTTTTTACTTCAAAAGTGTAGATCAAGATAACCTGGTACAAAAGTAACAGAATGTTTTCTGTTACAAATCAGTGCAAAATGCCAAAAGTATAAATTCACAGGAGTAGCTGAAAATAGGGTCACTATTGTTAGTGTACACCTACAATAAAGAGTCTTTTAAAATATAAAATTACTTGCTGGTGTTGCCTGCCTCTCTCACAGTCAGACAATGAACAAGAAGGATTTTTTTTCTGTCCTAGTGTGTCTATATCTGACCATACAAATTTTGACTGCAAATCTACACACACTTCCGAGTCTTATTACATTTGATAAGTTGTATATAGGATAGTGGTATCAATGTACAGGAAGGCATCCCAAAAATCAGTAAGTAGTTAGCAAAACCTAATTTTCCAAAACCTCTAATCACCTCCTTATTCATTGTTTTACATATATAGTTTCTGAAAATGGACATCTTGTAATGCCTAAAGGAAATATCCTATGGCCCTAGACAGCAATTGGTTTGCAGGACATGCTGAAACACTGGGAGACTGGCTTAGTATGTCAGGTGACCCCCCCACACTATTCCTTGGGGTAGTTTCTAAACTACCCTAAGTAGCCAGATGACATGCTAAGCCAAAAAACAAAAATCCTGGCTAGAGTGGCAAAGAAAGGTTCACACTGGCCAAAGCCCCAGGCTTCTTCTCATCTCCCTCTGCTCAGGGCTTGAAGCAAAGAAGATGCATGATGGGGAGAAGGGCTTGCTTGGTTTAGCTTTCTTAAGAGGAAGTAACTGAGCACTACTATCGTGTCTCCCCCCCCCCCCCCAAAAAAAAAAAAAAACCTGGTGAACTTCTCACTGATTCTGCGGAGGGGTCAGCCTGCCTGTCAGTACAGCTTGCATGGCATTGGCAGGCAGAATTGCCTCTCTCCCAGCCTGACTCATGAGCGAGAGTAAGAGGGGAGGGTGACTGTGCTTGTCAGTGCTCTGCATGTGCAGGGCTCTGACAGGCAGCATCACCCAGCACAATGAGACTAGTAAGAACTGACTCGGTTGAGTTGGGGGATGGACAGCAGCTGTGTGGCAGGAAAGAGGACACAGGCTGCGTTGTGCCAGGCTA